AATGATACGGTATTGTTTTTTTATAAAAGTAAAATATTTTAATTTTTTATAATATTTTATTAAAATAATATAATTTTAAATATTATTTTACTTAATTTTTTTTGTAAATTCAGCTTGATAAATATTAACCTTTAATATTTATATAAGATAATAATTTATTGTTAAATAATTAAATATGTATAATTAAAATTAAAAATATAGCTAGACCAAAATTAAAAGGTAAATAATTTAAATGATACGGTATTGTTTTTTTATAAAAGTAAAAAATTTTAAAATTTACTTACATAATATATAAATGGATTAAATTAAAAATAAAAAAAATTTATCTTTTATTATGTAACTAAAAATATAAAAAAAATTAAAAAATATAAAATATTTTAGGCCAATTGATTAAAAAATATTTGGAGTGCATATTAATAAAGAAACCCTTTATATATTAATGGTTTTCAAAATTTGGAAGGTCTAAACCCGTCATATAAGATTAAACTTCCTTTTCATATAGTATATCATAAAAATATTTTTAAATAATAATATATGATATATAATGATGAGAAAAGTGTATATGAATTTTAATTGTTAAAAATAAATTAGAGTTTAAATTTTAAATTATTTTATTTTATTATAATTTAATTTAAAATTTAAAAAATTATCTTATTAGATATTAATATTTAAATTTAAAAATAAATTATATTAAAATATATAATTAATTTTTAAATCTAAATATCGAATATTTAATAAAATAAAATTCTAATTTTTTAAATTTAAATTAATCTATATTGATCTTTATAATAATATTATATTATAAATTTATAATATATATATTTTTTATTTAACAATTACTCCTCTGCATGGAAATCCACGTATGACCATGAACCCCAAAACCGTCAAGATCCCGCCACGTATTCGCCACCCATAGAATCTTACATGTGCAGATGCGCTCTCTCATTTTGCTGGATTTCCACTGCACAATGATCTGTAAGAATTATAAATAATAAAAAAATTATTTATATAAAAATA